GAAATTTTATTTCATTGAGTGAGCTTTTAAAAACAGCATTTTCACGTGTGGCATAAAATTTCATCTTACGCAACAAACAAACACATTTTCTTTTTTATTTTATGCTTTAAAACAAGTAAAAATGAAATTTCCTCAATCATTAAAGTCTGTTTTCCCGAATGGTAGCCTCATTTTAGTCGAATCCTGAAGTCTTGAACTGAGAAATAAGTTCGACAAACAACGTTTAATAGCGTTGATATTATTTATTTTATTAAAAACAAACAATTATAGAAAAAGTCACACCATCCGACCTTATTTCAGTAACTTACGGTGAAGGCTTTGTGCAATATAAGTTGCCGCCATTTCTAAAAGTTGTGCATCTCACAGGAGGAAAATAATTGTGTTTGATTCAGAGGGTTATCATTTAATTTTGTAAAACATACATCTTATTATAAGAAAGAAAACTTATTTGAGGATTGTTACAGACAACTGTTGACAGATGTGTAAACATTCAAAAGCGGCTAGGAATTTGGAAAACATGGAAATGTCGAAAGGCTGTCTTTCGAACGCCGAGTTGTTTACTTATTCTTCGGGCTGATGACTGTCATTGCTTTTCAAGTTCCATATTGCATTAGGCAGTTATTGCTAGTAGGATACTTATTTATACCCAAATGTCACCATCCTAACACAGCAGCCACACTTCTTCAGTCTGACATCCAAAAAATCTCTTTATGGGCAGAAAGGTGGTTAGTCACCTTCAATCCTCAAAATCGGAATCCCTACTTGTAACCAGAAAGCGAAATCGTCAGCAATCACCCTTCATTGCATATGTTTCAACCAACAAATTCCAGAAGTTTCTGAACACAAACATTTAGGCATCTTTCTTTCTTCTGACTGCACATGGCACAAACATATTGAATACATAACTGATAAAGCTTGGAAAAGGGTTAATATAATGCGTAAACTGAAATTCTCTCTGGATCGTAAATCTTTGGAAATCATCTAATATAGCATTCATTAGACCTATTTTGGAATACGGTTGATGTAATTTGGTGCAATTGTACCCAATATGAACTCGAACAAGCTTGATAAGTCATTCAAAATGAATGTGCACGCATTGCAACTGGTGCAACAAGCTTATCTCACTAGAAAACTTTGCAGAAAGAAATTAATTGGGAAATCGTTATCCGAAAGAAGATATAAAACACAAACTAATTATGTTTCTCAATATGCAGTCGGAACAAAACTCCAGATTATCTCTCATCATTAATACCAAATCCAGATCAATCCCGTTACAGCTTACGAAAACTCTGAAGATATCAGAGGAATTACAACAAGGACTACTCTGTACCACAATTCTTTCTTACCATCAGTTATTCGTGATTGGAACAACTTGCCTGTTACAATACGAAAACAGCCCTACAATATCTTCATTTAAAACTTTTCTTAAACAAGGACAGAAAAATATACACCAACATACTTTTATACAGGTAGTCGTAAAACTGCAGGTCCTTCACACTCGGCTTCGAACGAAACTGCAGCGCATTAAATCACCACCTGTTTTTTGAAAAACATTTTCTCTTACCCCTTTGTGTAATTGTGGGCAAATCGAAACTACCCAAATTTTCTTTTTCGAGTGCTGTGCATACGATGCCGTCCGCAGAACACTCCTCCTTAACTTGCAAGACTTCAGCATAAACCTTCATAAACTTCTCTATGATGACCCATCTCTTACATTACCAGGACAACGTTATATATTACAAATGTACAAAAATTATATAGAAAAAACGAAAAAGATTTACTTAGATCATTCTAATTGAGACTATAATCCTCTCTCACCCTTTTTCTTCTCTTTTCCACTATTTTGTTTTCTTCTTTATATATATATTCTTACATTTTAGACATCTACTTGTAGTTAATCTATTCTATAAAAGTTTATATATAAATATATATTTTATGTGTGTATAATTAATACTTATTCCCTTGTCTAGTATATACTAATTATAAACTTATTTAAGACAAACCATATAGTTCGCCAAAGGAGAAGAATTCTATAAGACTTGTCTTTCATTCTCATCCTTTTCCATTGTGTAAAATGTTTTGTTTGTTATATATTTGTATGTATGTACATTATATATACTTTCGGGAATAAATATGTTTAAACTAAATGTCACCAAGAGCAGTTTTGCATGTGGAAGGAAGTGTATTTTTCAGACTTTAAAAATGAAACAAATATTTAGAGCCGATTGGTAATTTGAATGAATTGAAGTATTTCTTTTTATTTTTGTAACTTTTGAAACTAACAAATATTAACCAACTTTACCAGCATTTCTTCTTGACAACAAACAATTCATTTATTATCAATTCATGACATGTTGTTTTAATAACATTTTTATTTATTTTTTTGCAAAATATAAAAAAATACTATAAATAGAGGTTAAAAGCTTTTATATATATAGATGCAATAATGAATAGCCTAACTTGAGTAAATATGTGATGGGGCATATGAACATTTGATGATGATTTCAATACAGTTAGCAGTTATAGTGATTCTATAGAGATAGATGTAGATGTTATTTACTAAAGTTGTGTGAGTTCTGTAAATTTTACATAATTATTAACAAAATTTAACATTTCCATAAAATAACTTTTAGTATTATAAGGGGTCAACAGCGCCCACATGGTAACGTACAAATCATGTGATGATGTGACGTGCACATGATGACGTAATATATGCATTATGACGTTGACTGTGTCGCAGGTCAATAACGTGAATATTTATTACTTAGTAGCCACGTAAAGAGAACGAGTGTCCACAAAGTGGAAACGAATCTACAGTCTTACGAAAAAGTAAGTATACACTAGAAAAATATACTCAAAAGCGTGGTTTTGTTCACAATTCAAGGGGAAGGAGAATATAAGCTGCTTGCACCATGTTCCTCCTCTATGAAGGGACAATAGATTGGGTCAGCCGATTATTATTTTGAAGTCAAACTTTATGGTATCCGACGAAATGTGTTTATTGGCACCATTCGCATATTAATCTGGGGTATATGATATTCTGCAGGGATTTACGCTTCCTATTTGAAAAGGGACACGGATAAAAGATTCGGTCAGCCGATTATTCTTTTGAGGTATGGGGTTTTCATAAGGGATCAGACATTGAAAAAGTACATTTGAAATTTTTAAAACAAGTTCTTGGTGTACGCCAGCAGACTACAACATCAGCGGTTCTAGGTGAATTTGGACGATTTCCATTATTAGTTCTGCGAAAAAGTCAGAATTGTTAAGTACTTGTACAGAATTATGAAATCCTCAAACTTTCTTTTATACAAGTTGGTATTTTTAAAAGATGCTAATGGTACTTTGTTAAATATCTGGTAAAAATGTAAAAAAATATGTTGTCAGACTTAGGTTTCTCATATCTATGGAATAATGATAATATTTCAACTGTGCATTAATTCTTTCTCAAAGTTAGAAAGTTATAATTTGTTTTAAATTGAATTTACCCAAGAGAAATATTTAAGTTGTGTTAATAATTTAAAACATCGTAATATGCTATCAAGGTGTAGGTGCTCTTCGCACAAATTAGCCATTGAAGAGGGTAGACATAGAAATATTGAAAGAAACCAACCCCTCTGTACAAACAATTCCTTGATATGATGCATCGCCATCCCCTACAATAAACAATCCTTTCATTTAATTAAGCAACAAGTGATTTTCTGTTATGTCATCATGTTTGAGAGAAGTAAGATGTTTGTATAAAAACAGAATTGGATATTTGTTCTTTTATTGATTGTTCTCTGCTTTGAAACCATTTCTCATTTATAATAGACAGACTAATGACAGTTATCTCTTTAACATACATATTTCTTTGATGATTTCTTTCGTGTGATGTAAGCTGCCTTTTTATAATCTAAATAAACTTTTTTTTTAAATAATTTATTTACACGTTTTTTCTCTGTCTTCTGGTCATACATCATGTTATCATATGTTTATGTGTTTTATTGACTTAAGTGACTTGTCATTTGATGTTTCTTATGAGAAGATAGCACTGTGCTTATTCAATAACGCTGTGGCTTCTTTTGAACATATTATCACAACAATAGCCCGATTACAAATCCCTTGTAAATATTTATGTTATATGGTAAGTAATATGAACACAAAATTAAGCAAAACAAATTTGGCAAGTGAAGATCCCTCAAAAGTTTAAAAGTGAATATTGCACACTAGGTTTGATGTCGTTTGCTCACGAGAGATAATTGAAAGTGTAATATCTTTCATGCCCCCTAGAACTGGCTTAAGCTGTATTCTATCTTCTACACAATTAAGTTTTAGAATCAATGATTCCATGGACCTGGAAAGTACAACACAACTTAAGTGAAGTACGCAGCATTGTTTTACAGCTACCACATATCACTTAGCAAGCATTTTAGAACATACTTTATCAATAGCTTATTTCTCATCATGCCGTATCATCATCATGATAAATGTCGAATTACTGCTTTAGCCGGTGCCATGTGCGTTCTTATGGGATTTTTGGATGTTTTATTTCCCTCTATCAACATTCTATTCTAAAAGGTGACAGTTTCAAATCCGCTGGATACATTTTTTTTTCAATTGCCGAATACATGTTAAAAGGAAAAGAATAATAGTCTGCAATGCCATAATTTGTTTTGTGAAAGTCACCATCTATGTCTAGCAGACAGACTCGTTTGTCAATGTTTATTTGCGTTTTGCAAGCTGACTATACCGTTACCAAGTCGCTCTGATGCAGACTTTTAGAACTAGTGTAGACTTCAGTTAACTGATCAATTAGAATGTAAGCATGATACACTTTGAAATTGCAGTTCAAGAAATGACTGATAAAATTTTGTTTTATTCATATGAATACTTTTGAATAGTTATTTTAGGAGAGTAATGTTTTTCTAGTTGTTCCAAAAGGCAACAAATGTATATATTATTCACTCTTAGAATAAAAGTACATGCAAATACAAATCATAAATACAATATTTGTTGTCTTTTTATATTATTTTAATTATATTAATAAATTTATTACAATTTATTACAAATATATTGGAAATACATATCACAATATTTATATTGTAGTTGGATTCGCAGAAGTTGCTTCCCATCTCGAGGGCAGCAGACGATATTGCACAGAAGTCTTGGATGAAGCGCCATTTATTCTGTAAGAAAGATATGGAAAAGTTGTAATAACGGTTTGGATCTGACAAAAACAAATCTGTAATATTGGCCGCTGTTGACACTATGGTAATGATCTGATGAGATTAAACGTGCAAATATTTCCCGATCTCAAAATTATAATTCAAATTTCCAAAATATTTTATGCACATTTTTATTACATCCTTTAAATCATACAATATCTACATTCTTGCACTTTCATGAAGTTGCCAAGTAACTTATACAATACATTAACCTTGGTTCAACATTTACATTATTTTCCTTTGTATTCAAAGTGATATTTTAAACGAAATGTAAAGTTGTTTATATCAGTACTTACGTTTTATTGCCTTCTTCGGCCTACATATCCAGTCGGGAATTTTGGAGGAGGTTTCTTCACTGGTGTTGGGTGAATCATTGCATTTTGACCAAAGATACTCATGCCGGCACCGATACCTCTATGTCCGCCAACTCCAGACGAAGCCATAGCAATCGTTTTATCAGCAACATTGAGAGACTCCCTTACAAGACCGTTTGTGGCAGCAATAGCAAGCGGGTCTCCGGCCGCAAGACCACCTCTAGATCCCATGTTTATAACATTAGCGGCTTCACCTATGGCTTGTTTTGCAATTCCATGACCTAAAGATGCAGCAAGTGGGTCGTGACCGATACCTGCAATTCCAGATTGTCCAACTTTGTCTACATTGTGGACTGGATCTGCTGTCTTACCCATTACTCCAAAAGGACGCATTCCAATGCCATTATTAAGTGGTCCAAAATTTGAAACTCCAATGTGTCTTCCATTTGATACTTTCATGTTTCCATGAGCAACCTGGCCTAAAGGATCAATTCCAACTCCGAAAGGATCATTTGCTACAACTCCAGATGTTTTAACCATATCGTGCTCTATTGAAGAAGACACAGGGCCGTGTGGGTTAATAAATCCACGAATTACAGGAGTACCAGAGTTTTTGGCAATGTTGTGACCAGCAACAGCATCTGCACCAAGTGTAGCAACTCCGATATTATGGGCAATAACTCTTGGGTCATCAACGGTTATATCTCCAGCATTGACAGTTCCAAGTCGGTTAACGGTAGGTCCAAATGGTCCTGCCCCCATGCCGCCGATGGGACCTCCTATGCCGCCAATGGCACCACCTAATGTTTTTCTATCTATATGGTTTGCTTCCTTGACCATGTTATGTTCAGCTTTCACGCTTTTATGACCGGTAGGAACAACATGAGCTTCTTTTGCAATTTGATGTCCAACTGACGCACTAGGCTTAATAACATATCTGTTTAATCTCCTATCAAATACCAATTCTTGACCGCTATAATCTTCCGGAAAAGCAGCACCGTTCAAAGGATCATTCCACATTTGAACAGCAGGAATGACTGGTTCATTAATGTCAGCTCCCCAACCATTGACCAAACCATCTGAGTTCAACGTACCACCATGTCGAGGCAATCCATTCATTCCACCCATCATTACACCCCCATTTACTGTACTGCCAAGTATTCTTTGAATGTCTTCTGGCATGCCGAACATACCCCCTCTTCTTAGGCTGTCAAGACCATTGTCAAATCTACTAGCAAATGGATCAAATTCTCCTGTATGTAAAGGTTTCTTTGGGATAACGTTTGGTTTGCGTTGGCGTCCTTGATAACCTAAAATATAAATGTTTGATATAGCATGTTGACCTGAAAATGGTCATTTTCTAAATGTTGTTTTACAAACAGTCATATCTAACCACTTACTGTTGCCCATCAGTCCAAATTAGTTGATCTTTCAAATTTTTTATATCGGAGTTTACAGATAATTTTTTATTAAATTATGTCACTTAAACATGGCGATGAAATCGTTAAATCGTGTTCTTATAACGATAAACATGTAGAGACATGTTAGTGTTGCAAGGAATGTTTACCTATGAAAAAATAAATTAAGCGAACAAAGTTCCAAGACTCATCATCAAAAATGTTTTATGCATACATTATCTAATGATGATAGTGTAATAAATTTTTGTCTAAATGTTTACAGCCAGTATCTGATAACAACTTGCTTACTTTTTATTAATTATTTTTCAAAGTAGGAGGATAACCATTTATGTGATAAAGAAACTGATTGTTTTAAAATAGCAGGCATGATACTATTTCTTTACTTAGAACTGTTTGTTTTAATACTATAAGGCAAAGACAGTGTGCTTTTTGTTGGTTTTGATAATGAAACAATCGTTGGAATGAGGTTAAATAAATAATCTTAAGATAAGTTGATAAAGTGGTCTTACCTTGTCCAAATACTGCTGACACGAAAACGAAACATGCGAGTGTTTGAAGAAAGAGGTTCATCTTGTTAATTTTCTTCAAATCTGAAAAAAAAACACAAAATTTATTATTTATGTAATGATATACTTAGATAAAATTATTGTTAAAATCGCAAATCTTGCTCCGTTTCAATTATATTTTAATAACCATCCTGATACTGATAATTACGAAAATCAGGAAACTGCTTATAGTAAACACAGATTTTCAAAGGTTGTTTAAATAAGTTATAGTGATATTACATGTAAGTAAAAAATTTTATGAACAACTGTATTTAATAATTATTTATGTAGACATTACACTTTTTGAATCGCGTTGGTTTAAAGAAGTGACTTTATTTTCTAACACTTACCTTATTTTCTCTGTTTTGTTTCTTAAGTTCTTTTTCTTGGTTTAAGTTTTGCTTTTTTCAGTTTTTTTTTTGTATATTTGTTGTATAATATATACAATTTTCTGGCTTCAAAGTTCCTACTTCTTTCTCCGACTTACTCCACTGACAAATCCTTGATATCTGAAGTTGCAGTGGTCTCTCCGTCTTTTTATATAGATCGACGTGAACGTTGTCTTAAAAGGTCAATCAAGAAAACCGCAATCAGCTGTGGTATGACATCATAGTTGTCAACCAATCGTACGTCGACGTTTAGTGTTCTCATAACGTGCTGAAATAACGCGAGGATAACTAGCGTTAATTGTTTCCTTATACATTAATTGATCAATTATCGTTAACGTCATACCCATGTAAACGATGACGTTTTGGAGGTTTAATGTACAAAATAAACATGCTTTAGCGATTAAGATTTTCAAATTTACATGTAGTATGTTATCTTATTCATATTGTAAAGGTAAGCATAATGTAACAGAACGTACACATTTAAGGAAAAATTATGAAAGTAAAATGAATACGAAGCATTCAAATATTAAAATCTGAGAATCCGGATTGTGTATTATTTACAACATTTAATTTTTGCACAAATTAAATTTATTCATATCTACAACTTTTTTGTTGTATATGTCGCAAATTGAATTAGTGTAATTAAACGTGACAAGGATAGAACTTTTTTCTGTGACATCTATTGAATTAAAGTAAATGTTTATACATCATATGTATGTTTTAATGATAAATTTAAGATATAAGTTGTAAATGTATAAATATATAGTATATGTATTGTATCCATTATTGAACATATTTAGAGTAATACTGGTTCATTTCTCTTACATGAGTACGCTTACTGAAAGGTAATAGAATTATATGGTGTAAAAAAGAGAAGAAAACGTTTATTCAACTTGTACATGTATCTCGTTACACATAGAAAAACAACAGTCAAAGAAAATATAAAGAAGTATTCTCATGGTACTTTTTCAAAAAACAGTAATATAATATTTTTATTTTGTTGCTAATGGCTTTTGTTAGTTCGAAGGCACATGTATGTGCATAAACTGGTATATTTTAAAGCCAAATGAGCCGTGTCACGAAAAAACCAACATAATGGGTTTGCGACCAGCATGCATCCAGACCAGCCTGCGCATCCGCGCAGTCTGATCAGGATCCATGCTGTTCGCTTACCAACCCTACAATAAGTAGAGAATCTGACAGCGGACAGCATGGATCCTGATCAGACTGCGCGGATGCGCAGGCTGGTCTGGATCCATGCTGGTCGCAAACCCATTATGTTGGTTTTGTCGTGACGCGACTCAAATGTACTTTACACTTGTCGGGATAATATAAACATAGAACAACCACATTCATCATTATAATCGTTTTACAATATGTATATGTTGAGACAAGTTAGATGACGTAGATGTAATTAAGACAAGTCAAGCATGATGTCCTATTAGCATATACATGTACATGTTGTTTTGTCAGCATATTGTAAGTCAAGGTTACTATGCAACAAGGGTTCGTTAGTTGTATTTCCGATCTTTGATGAATGAATGTGTTGTCTTTTTATTGGAACTGTTATAGAGAAGAAACTTTAATCAAAATATCGTGGTGTTTTAGTGCTTCATATAAAATGGTGTCACTTGTATCAATGAAGAGAATTATTAGTAAAAAAAATATTAAACAAATTTAATTAAGTTTACAAAAAGTTTAAAATGATACATCTGACATATTTTTATTAAATGGATATTATAATGTATTTACAAAACGTGAATGTTATTGTAAAGCTCACTAGGTATATGATACGAAACATTTCAGATTGTGTTAATGTTTTGAACGTCTGCTAAATCTCAAATTAATACAAATTTTTTGTTTTAGTTAATGTCTGATTATATTACATTTTAAGCTTTAAAAAAGGGATATGGTTAGGGATGCATAAATATTTCAGAGAGTCGGAAAGAGAATGGATGTAACGGTCTCGTTCATTTTCTGAAGAGAAATAGACCACCGATGTCGCATTATGCCATTTCTACATGAAATTATTGTCCCTATACTTTCACTATATCTTATTTAACAAAATATAAGCAATACAATGCACTACATCTGTATCTGTTTCATTTAGTATATATATAAAATAGAAACCTCTTCAAAAAATTTTCATTGTCGTTTTTATTATTATAAATATTAAAATGTTTTTATTACAATCTTGAAGAAATCACACCAAGTATCATATAAATAGATGTTCTGGGTGCTTTCAATATTGGTGTGGAAATGATCTATGGTCAATATTATTCCAGGTTACCACCAAATGGTTAACTATTTTACAGTTTTTTACTCTAAACAGCTATAAAACGTGAGATATTAAAATTCTAAGGTGTAAATTGGTAGCCATCCTGAAAACATATTACTACATAAAATCGGTATGTTTACAGGCGTCTATATAGCAATTGGTAAGGATAAGCGAGTCGAGAATATCTTTCCAGGCTTGTTCAATGTTGTAGGTCCGAGTCTTACTTTGACATCTTGTATTTTTGTTGATTACTTTAAACACTTTTGGCGCATAATGTTTTTATTATGTTTTTTTTTTATTCTGTTCCTTCTTTCTTTTTTGAACAAATGAACAAATTATCAACATTCCCACATCAAGGCATCAAGGAACTAAGTTCCTCGAACCTTTAACATCAAGGAACTAAGTTCCTCGAACCTTTAACTTGTATCACACTGAGCTACGCCGCCATTCTTTTAGGCTGTAGTTAAAAGACCCCTTAGTACCTTATACTATGGAGGGTGATTTATGCCAAAATTACATCTTGCTTTCTAACGTTACATCGTGCTTTCTAACTTATACATCGTGCTTTCTAACTTGTACATTATGCATTCTGACATATACATCTTGCATTCTGACTTTTACATGTTGCTTTCTTACATGCACATTATGCTTTCTGCTGTGTGCGACTTGCTTAATTTTATGTTGATGTCGTTATATTATTCATTTGTTGATCTGGTATATTAATTCAATAAATTAACCTGCTACTGTTTGTATTTGTGTCTATTTACTCAGCTTGAATGACGAATCGAATGTCATAAGGTAGAATGCGCATAGGCGAAAGCCGAATGCAGCAAGCATAATACAACGCGACATCTGCTGTAATAATATGTGACACCCAAATTTTGCTAACAGGTGGCGCTACAGTTATATTCTCGGTAAAGTCCGTATTGCGGTTCGGATTCAGTTTACCAAGTTACGTCCCTTTGTTTTAAAATTTCCATTTGCACTCATGGAGAAAATATACAAAACGATTTAACCATTTTTTATATTTATAAATGAAACTCTGTAGGTCAAATTATATTTCCAGCTGACAATGACAAGTTGCACTTTTCCAAATCAATGGTTTTAGAATTTTTTTTTTCATCAACAAAATAATTATAAAATAGAACAGTTGTTCAACATTGTTCAAAGTGCTTGGGTCATAAAAAAACTTCTTATTAAAATATTTCATCCTCTTGAAAAGTTCTTAAATTTTGACATGGCTTATTTCCAATACCTGTGACCATCCATAACATTTTAATGTGTTTTTATTAATTAGGACATTTTCTTGCCTATTTTCAAACTAATTTTGTACACACGTTAGATTTTTTAAATTCAACTTGTCAAAAAATGTCTTTTTTTCACCAAGTTGTTATTATTCACTATATTACGATGCTTTATGAATACGGCCCAGGTTCTTGTTCATAGTGTCAGCTTAAAACTGAAGGAACTGCTGCCAAAATCAGCTGATTCTGAGAAAAAAATAAAATAAAATGTCAAAACTGTCTAGTCTGTCAGACTAGACAGTTTTGCCTTTTTTCTTTTGCAGCGGCACGGGCTACCTCTCTTCATTTTGAATTTTTTATATCACATTATCTCTCATTTTTTTAACACATACGTACCCACAAGGGGCACGACATATGCTTTTTATTTGCGTTAATCGTTAAGTATGTAATATTTACATAAAAGTAAGAAATATTTCATACCTATTTAACGATTAACGCAAATAAAAGCAATGTTGTGCCATGAGGGTACGCTGCAAAACCTAAGTATGGTGTTTTTATGAATTTTACATTTATTTTTGACAAATATACTGCCATTTGTCCGAAGATGATATGTAAATTGAACATATTAAATATATATGATGCATTATATAATCAAGCCCACGGTTCATTGCAGCCCGAAAAGTATGTCGAGGTGATGGGACAAGGCCAAGACATGTCGATTTTTTGTAGCTTATTTGTGAAGTTGCAGTACACGAAAAACGGGCACATGACAAATCAGCCACATAAATAAAAAACATTCTATGTTCCGTGGGATATATCTTTTTGTACGTGTCAAACCCCTTTCCTTATTACATTGAAATTTTTACTGGATTGTTATCCATCGCTGGTTTGTTTTTAGCAGAGAATGACCTGTGCATGTGTAAAAAGGGTACCGTTTGAGCAGATTTCGCAAAGAGGGTACCGATATAGATATGCACCGTGGTGTAGCTTTAGGACGAATGATTTCATACTATTAATTGATGTGTACGTAAAAACAAAATGTACAAAAATGGTTCCAAGAAATGGTTATAAAATGAATATTGCATGTTTGGCTGAAGATGCCTTTTTAGTAGTTTTCTTTAAAAAAAATGAAAATAAATGTTTATTAATATCTTTTATGACAAACAATTCATTTGATTTTATAACCATTTCTTGGGACATTTTTTGTACATTTTGTTTTTATGTACTCATCAATTAATATTATGAAATCATTCGTCCTAAAGCTAAACTCTCACAGATTGACAGACTAGACAGTTTTGCCTTTTTTTTCTTTTTTTTTTCTCAGAATCAGCTGATTTTGGCAGCAGTTCCTTCAGTTTTAAGCTGACACTGTGAACAAGAACCTGGGGCCATAAAGCATCTTAGTGAATAATTTCAACTTAGTAAAAAAAGACATTTTTTGACAAGTTGAATTTAAAAAATCTAACGTGTGTACAAAATTAGTTTGAAAATAGGCAAGAAAATGTCCTAATCAATAGAAACACATTAAAAATGTTGTGGATGGTCACAGGTATTGGAAATAACCCATGTCAAAAAATATTTTAATAAGTTTTTTATGGCCAAAGC